ACACCAGGCTCAAGCCAGCCCTCACCACGAGGGGCCAGTCCCAGGAAAGGAGAAGCTGGGGGAGGCTGGAACTGGTATCCTAGCATCCTCTGTGTGAGTCTGTACCTCAAAGGAACCACACCTCTGAGTCAGACCTCAGCAACAGCAGGAAAGAGAGGGTAGAAAAAGGCAGGGATGAGGAACAGGGGAAGGCGGTATGGAGGTAGAAGAGGAAGGTGAAAGAAGACAACATTAACAAATGGCCTGTGTCAGAACATCACGACAAAGGCATGGGTGTCCAAGGGTGGCTGGCCTGCAAGGTGAGAAGGAACACTAATCTGACAGTTCTGATTCCTGATTTGAGGACAGGCTCAGGAAAGGCAGAAATCCAGCACTGATGCAAAAAAGGAAAAATGCAAAGGTTATCCTAGGATTAGAGTAAGGGGAGGAGCCTACTCAGATTCGGAAAGGTGACTGGTCTAGGATGAACCTGGGAGCCAGCTGATGTTGGGAGGGCTTTGGTACAGAAGAGACCTTTAAGTCAGGAGACCTGATATTGCAGCTGGGCCTCTAGCAGGCTGTGTGACCTTGGACAAGTCCCTTCCCCTGATGGGGCCTCAGTTTCTTCAGCTGTACCACTAGGGATTATACTGCCTGCGCTCAGAGGTCCCTTCCAGCACTGACGGTCTGAGGTTCCATCAACAGAAAGGAGGGCTCAGTCCTGGTTTACAAGTTTGTGTGTGAAGGAAGAACTAGAGGGAGGGGCCTAGGCCAGATTTGGGTGGAGAAGAGAGAAAGCAGCGCTGTTCTAGGTCAGGGGCTTGGCGTGGAGGGAGAAGGGGCTATAGGGGATTGTGGGGTGGCTGTTCCAAGCTGGTAAGAAGAGGAGCGAAGGGGCTGCGCAGGGCGGGGGGAGGGGGCAGTTCTGGAGGGACGTGCAGTTTCAGATGAAGGGCTTTCCCAAATCGGTGGAGGATTGGGGCTGGGGGCGGGGTTGGGGGAGCAGGGGAGTGACCTGGAAATGGAGCGGATCTGGAGGAAGGAGGTTACCCTGGGCCAGAGGTAAGAGAAGGAAGGAAGGGAGGGAGGGAGGTGTATGTGGGGTGAATCTCTCTGGGACAAGGTGGGGGAGCTGTCCTAGCTGCGGCACCAGCTGGGGGTGTTGCCAGCCGCGGGGGCGGAGGGCTGGCCCCAGGAGTCCTGCGGGGGCCGGACGGGAGGGTCAGACTGGGGCTGTCCCGGGCCTGGCTCGGGCCCCTCCCAGAGCTCCACGCAGGCCCCAAGGCGGAGGCGCAGGGAAAAGGGCCACGCTCACCTTCTCCTTCTTCAGTTTATAGGGCATCTCGGCCGGTCCGGACCCGGCCCAGCTCCTGCGGCCCCGCTCCGGCTCCGGCTTTGCTCGGCCGCACTCGGCCCGCTCCGCGTCTCTTCGCCACCGCCTGCGCGCTGCGCCCGGGTCGAGCGGTGTCTGCGCCTCCAATTGGCCCGAACTCTTACAAACCTGCCTGACAACCAGGCGTCGCCTCCTCCGATTGGTCATTGGAGCCACTATGCTTCCTTTTTTTCTCATTGGAAAGAAAGAGTACAAACCGCCAGGGTTCGGCTCCCAGAATTGGCTGAAGTGGGAGGTCCCGCCCGAAAGTGGGTGGAGCTTAGAGAAGGAGGCGGGGATAAGGGGAAACCCAAGCTTGGCTAGGAGTGCTGCACTTCAGCATCTGGTGTGCGTCGGCCTCGGCCATTCTTCCAAGCACTTGGAGCTCTGTTCCTTTCCTTTCCTTCTCAAGTGGCGGTCACGCTTTGCCCACGCTGCTACTCCGCCCAGTCCAAACTGGAGGAAAGAAGCCCTAAAACGAAGGGTACCTTTCTTCATTGGGGTAATGTAGCGCTAATTGCAGATGCAAAATTAGTGTAGAGCACTCCCAAGAGCCCTCCCGGGCATCTACTTCCCTGGACAGAACTTGCAGAGGAGAAAGTGGAAGCCTGGCAGGGCCGGGACCTGGGTGAAATGAGATGAGAATTACTGGTTTGTTGCAACTTTAGGAATAGGGTCCCTGCTCCTACTACAAATGTCCTGGGATTGAGGAACCAGCTAGATTTGAGCAGTTGAGAATGCAGCGGAAAAACAACCCTATTGTTGAATGCCCCGGCAAATCCATCCACCACCCTGCCCAAACCAATGTTCTAATGGATAAGCGTTCCGGCCCTCAAGGAGTTCGCGCTCTGGTGAAGTTTACATACTTGTATAAACAGATGATTAACATACAAGGTAATAAATTACACGAACCTAGAGGCAGCACGGAGGAATAAGTTTCAGACAGGCTACTCCAGTAGCAGATTGACTACATGAAGAAACTGGATCAAGAATAAGCCTGTGAGGCCGGGTGCGGTGGCTCACACCTGTAATCCTAGTACTCTGGGAGGCCGAGGCGGGTGGATCACTCAAGGTCAGGAGTTCGAGACCAGCCTGAGCAAGAGCGAGACCCCGTCTCTCCATCTCTACTAAAAAATAGAAATGATCTGGACAACTAAAAATATATATATATAAATTAGCCAGGCATGGTGGCGCATGCCTGTAGTCCCAACTACTCGGCAGCCTGAGGCAGAAGGATCGCTTGAGTTCAAGAGTTTGAGGTTGCTGTGAGCTAGTCTGATGCCAAGGGCACCCTAGCCCTGGCAACAGAGCAAGACTCTGTCTCAAAAAAAAAAAAAGAATAAGCCTGTGGCCGGGCGCAGTGGCAAGCGCCTATAGTGCCCGCTCCTGGGAAGGATGAGGCGAGAGAATCACTTGAGCTCATGGGTTCGAGGCTGCAGTGGGCTGTGATTGCTCCCGTGAATAGCCGCTGCACTCCGGCCTGGGCTAAAGAGCAAGACCATGTCTTAAAAAGAAAGGCATGTGGTCCCCTGACCAGGAGAGCAATGGAGATGGAGAAGAGAGGATGGAGTGGGAAACATCTAGAATCAACAGGATCACGGGATGTGGTGATTCATTAGATTGTAGGGGGATAGTAATGGAAAGGGAGGAGTTGAGGATGACTTCTGGAAGTGATCAAAGATGTCAGAGGAAAACTGGTGTCATAATGGCAAAGGAAGTACAAGAGGATTGGTCAACAGAGTCAGAGAAAGACTAAGATAAAGATGGAACAGCATCACCTTGATTCTGCAGTTAGGAGGTTAACGGTGATTTTTGCCAGGGAAGCTTCAGAGGAGTAGAAGAAAGTTTTTAGTGGATTGAAGAGTAAAAGATAAGGAAGTGAAGACAGGAAATGTAAGGATCCTGGCTATCTTACGGAAGTAGTATTTGGCTTTCAGTGACTAATGTGATTTCAAGGTAACACAAAGTGCACTGCATGCCAACCATTATTTGGTAGGGGAAAAGCCTGGGAAGAAAGGACATTTATTTGTGGGTGAGTATTTGTGTCTGTACGAGTGCTAATCCAGGTAGGATACCAGATGTATTTACCCATCCCCAAGACCTCAAGCCTGTAGTCCTGAGGCTTAGAGCTTTGCCTGCTACTGTGTAAAGCAGGCATATCCTTTTTGGGCCTATGCCATCATCTAGCCAGTCCTTGGTCCCTCTGAGAGGTAGGGAACAGGGCCACGTATAGTAGCAACACCAAATGGGAACTTTCATCCATATGAACCCAGTAGCTGGCATATTCTTGCATGCTGTTCTAAAGATGTGGGAATGGACAGTTTCAGATTTAGGACTGGAGGTACCTCCAGGAACTATAATCAGACATTAAAAAATATATTTTCTTATCTCTCTGGGGATAGAAATACAACAGAGCCAGGTGTGCTGTTGTACTCTTGTAGTTCCAGCTACTCAGGAGGATGAAATGGGAGAATCACCTGAGCCCAGGAGTTCAAGTCCAGTCTGGGCAAAATATCGAGACCCTGCCTCTTAAAAAAAAAAAAAAAAAACAAGAAAAGAAAAAAAGAAATACCTTATAACATGTAAATCATTCAACTTGTAGATATTTCGCTTTCAAATTTTCAGGAATGTATAATGTACAAAATAGGAGACTGTCTCAAGATGCTCTGCTGTGAAGGAAAGGAGAAAGGTGGGCAGTTAGCTGGAAGAGAATGCAAGGTCCAGAAAGAGGAGATTGCTACCATCCAATCCGTTGATTGTAAGTGAAAATGATTGTTAATAATTGGAATTGTGGCCTATCACTTTCTGAGTGTCTTGTACAGAGCAGTGGGGTTGGAGACAAAGGTAGAATCTAAGTATTAATAACAGCAAAGGTGAAAATCAGGCTGTTGGCTTGGTGCTTATGACATAGGCCTTGAACCCCACCCTTCTGCCTGCTCTGCGTCTGCCCCCCTCCAGGATAGAAATAGTGTATGAGTCTCCAGTTTGCAAGGATTGGGGTGTGTGTGTGTGTGTGTGTGTGTGTGTGTGTGTGTAGGAGGGTGTATGAAAGAGAGAAACTGCTCTGTCTTCAACTCAAGATTGGTAGGAGTGGCACGAACAGGACAAGAAGCGCTGGAACGTCGGTTTTGTGTAAGATGTGCTGGAACAGGTGTGGCAGCACCAAGCACTCCCTGTATACGAATCACACGTAGTAATTCAGTCAGCAGCCACTACCTACTCATAAGCAAGTCCGAGACAGTTTTCTAATCCTACCACTCTCTCCTGCGGTCTTCCCTGCAACCCTCAAAACTCAGTGCCCACAGTCCCACGGGGGAAACGTCAGAATTCCACGGAGGAGTGGACTCCTTCCTAAACATTCCACTCCCACCCCCCAGCACGGGGCCCAGTTGTCTGGGGCATGCTGACTGTTCATTGATTAGTCAATAAACTGTTAATTACATGATACCAGGCAAGAGAGTTGAGAGGACACACTGCGCTAGAAGGCAAAGGCAAATGCCTGTAAACAGAGGTTCAAAGAAGGCATGCCTAAAGGCCACGCAACCGCAGTGATTGCGGTTAATGCCGTCGAGGCACCATCCAGATCAATCCGAGGCGCAGCGCATTCTCTCAGGGCATGCGCGCTGCACCCGATGCGCCTCTATTTTTCTCTCGGCTCTCCTGGCGGAAGCGGAAACGGCGCTCGCGCCGCCGAGTCGTCTGGCTTGCTGGCTCCGGAAGCCACTCTCCACCTTTCTCGTTGATCTCCTGTCACTATGGCGCTGGCTGTCTTGCGTCTCCTAGAGCCCTTTCCGACCGAGACACCCCCATTGGCAGTGCTGCTGCCGCCTGGGGGCCCGTGGCCGGCGGCGGGGCTGGGCATGGTGCTGGCCCTGCGGCCTGCAGGGGAGAGCCCGGCAGGGCCAGCGCTGCTAGTGGCGGCCCTGGAAGGGCCGGGCGCGGGGACCGAAGAGCAAGGTCCCGGGCCTCCGGAGCTGCTGGTTAGTCGCGCGCTGCTGCGGCTCCTGGCACTGGGTTCCGGGGCGTGGGTGCGGGCGCGTCCCGTGCGGCGGCCCCCGGCGCTGGGCTGGGCGCTGCTTGGCACCTCGTCGGGGCCTGGGCTCGGACCACGAGTCGGGCAACTGCTGGTGAGGCGCGGAGAAACCCTGCCAGTGTCCGGACCGCGGGTCCTGGAGACGCGGCCGGCGTTGCAAGGGCTGCTGGGCCCAGGGACTCGGCTGGCTGTGACTGAGCTCCGCGGGCGAGCCAGGCCGTGCTCCGAGACTGGGGACCGCAGCCGGCCCCCACCCCCACCCGTGGTGTCCTCCTTTGCGGTTTCTGGCGGAGTCCGGCGACTCCAGGGAGTTCTGGGAGGGACTGGAGATTCACTGGGAGTGAGCCGGAGTTGTCTCCGTGGCCTCGGCCTTTTCCAGGGAGAATGGGTGTGGGTGGCCCGGGCCGGAGAGCCGTCTGACACTTGCCAGCCGCACTTGGCCACAGTGCAGGTCCTAGAACCTCGCTGGGACCTCTCTCAAAGGCTGGGACCTGGCTCTGGGCAGCTGGGAGAGCCCCTCGCTGACGGACTGGCGCTTGTGCCTGCCACTCTGGCTTTTAATCTCGGCTGCGACCCCCTCGAAGTGGGAGAGCTCAGAATTCAGGTAGGAGACAGGACTGAGGTCAGAAGTGCTTCCTCTTCCTTATGCCCTCTTCTCTGTCTTAACTGAATTGGAAGATGAAAACTGTAGAATTTAGGTCCCTTAATTCGTATGATCATCGACTTTTCATTTAATGTTTCTTAGCCTTATTGATTCTCTATAATCAAGATGTCATAAGCCTCCCTAGTGTAGTGGTGCATGAGCTTTCATCTGTTCAGATGAAAGGTGAGATTCACAGTCAAATTACCAGATCAAGGGGTGGGGAACCTGTGGCCTTGGCCTCAATGGCCATCCTTTCCCTCAGTTCCCATCTAAAGATGACACCTTCCTCACAAAGCCTTTCATAGCCTCACCACCACAAATTTAACATGACTTCTTCCTCCTATAGCATTTTGTACCTTTCTTAGAGCATTTATTTGGTCTGGTTATGATTACATGATCTGTCTAATCATCAATTATATATTGTAAATTGAAGGAAAGGGCTCTTTATCATCTTTGCAGCCTGGTGTTTAATTTTAATATTAAATACATCCAAGAGAAGTTTTTGTTTTCTGCCTTTACTTCAAGAAGACAGTTGTGTTTGGGGGACAAATACAGTATAATGTTTAATTAAGGACTTAGATATATGGTCTAGGCTGGTGCTGTCCAATATGTAATCCACTAGCCACTTTAAACTAAATAAAGTAAAAAATTCAGTTCTTAGGTTGCTTAAGCCAAATTTTTTTGGTTTTTTTTTGGCTCAGCCTCCCATGTAGCTAGGACTACATGTACACACCACCACCACACCTGGCTAATTTTTTAAAAAAATTTTGTAGAGATGGGGTCTTGCTATATTGCCCAAGGTAGTCTCAAAACTCCTGGCCTCAAGTGATCCTCCCAAAGTGCTGGGATTACAGGTGTGAGCCATGGTGCCCAGCCACTTCAGTCACGTTTTAAGTGACTACATGTAGTCATTTAAGGAATTCCATCAGTAGCCACATGTAGATATAGAACATTTCCATCATTGTAGAAGGTACTATTGGGCAGTGCTGGAGTAGCCAATTAATACTATGGGATGTCAGAAACCCTTTCAACTTCAGTGAGATCATGTCCTTTTCCCACAGCCTGATTTCAGAGTGTCCCCACTAATGTCCACTAATATTAATCTCAAGGGATGCCTGGTGTCATTCAAAGGACTTGTGGGAATGAACGTCTCTACCATTTCACTGGCTCTGGGCCAAGTTAAAGGTATCAGAAAGGTTATCTTTACTGGGGAACTTTTTGGAGCCAGAGTCAGAAAGGGAGGTGACATCTCTTCCTGCTGCCCGTTAGAGGGAGAAGTTTGTTTTCTAGGGAAGATAGATGTATTCAGCTTTGCGACCTCAGGCCCTGCCTCCTCCAAGCTTTATGATTATGGGAGGGGAGAGGATGAAAGTAGTTATATTGGCTGCTGAGAGACAGGGAAGAGCCTGCCTCCTAGGAGAAGTTTATAAAGTGGTGGTTATTTCTCTAATAGAGGTACTTGGAAGGCTCCATTGCCCCCGAAGACAAAGGAAGCTGCTCATTGCTGCCTGGGCCTCCGTTTGCCAGAGAGTTACACATTGAAATTGTGTCCTCTCCCCACTACAGCACTAATGGGAATTATGACCATGTTCTTTACCGGCACTTTCAGACACCCAGGTTAGCTACCTACCCCTTTAAAGAGAATAGCATCTCACCCTCATTACTCTCCTGTCCCATGCCTTAGATCCAGATACCCCAGAAGTTCTGGTTAAAAGCCACATTTTAGGCAAATTGTAGGTAGGCCTCTCAATGTGTCAGGCAGACCATTGTGGTGAATTTGGACAATCCAAACAGAAACCTGTTTGATTAAAAAGGCCTCCAAAAGAACCAGGATCCCACTCTGCCCTCACTGGTCCCTGATCCCCCTTGCTAGTCTCTCTGCCATTTCCCCTAGCTCATCCTAGGTCTGACTTGTTCCCTGGAGAATTGCTTGGGATCTCTGGTGGGCGGTAGACTCCTAAGGAGTGGTCTGCATGTTGGGGGTGAGCAGGGGCACATGCGTATGACTCCCATTGTGAGCTGACCAGGGCCACTGCTGTGTTGCAGGGTAGTCCAGGAAGGGGACGTTCTGTGTGTGCCAACAGTTGGGCAAGTAGAGATCCTGGAAGGAAGTCCAGAGAAACTGCCCAGGTATGCAGCTGCCTTCTGTCCTACAGCTGGGATTGGTAACCTGGGTGCAGGAATTCTACAATCCCTCCCCCCACATTGTATGTAATAATTTTGTGCTTAAGAATATTTTGTTGTTTGCATGTACATTTTTCTGGAGAGAAGGTCCATCCCTTCTTCAGGTTCCCAAGCAGATGTGTAACTAAAGAAAGATTAAGAACCACTGCCTGCTGGCTTTGGGAGGTGTTTATCCTCCAACTGGTCGGTGGTCCTGAGTAAAGTAAAGTAAAGCAATAAGAATAGTTTAATGGCCTAGACCAAGATGGAATTTCTTCCTTTCCATTCTCAGCCACTGTGTTGTTTGAGCCAGGACTCATACCAGCCATATCTCAATGTAAAGATACACAGACTCTGATTTCTGCCCTAACTGGTGAAGTGTGCACAAGCTGCTTCTCAACCCTCTCTCTCAAATCGGGAGGGAGGGATAGCTGCTATCCTTGAGAGGCCTACTGTCTCTCCTATCCTCAACAGAGAATGGGGAATAGAGCATAACTGAGCCAAGAACCCAAGACAAGGAGTCTAGCTTTTCTCCTCCTCCTGTTGTCTCTGACCAGAGAGGCCCCATGTAAAATGGTGAGACAAAGAATTAAGAGACTGCTTTGGCCTTATGTGAATGGAGGAGGGACTGTCCTGTACCCCAGGCAGTCCCTCTGTTCTGGTCTGATTTCCTATAGTGGTTTACTAGAAAGGGAGCACAACTGATAGAAGCACTAACTCAACTTTAAGAGCCCTCATGTTCAAGGTCTCTGGCCACACCAGCCTGGGTCCTCTGCCAGGAGACAGATGCCTTATCTGGAGTGCCTGATTTATCCTTGGTCAATATCCAGAGCTTGGTTCTGGCCAGGACTCAGTCCCCCCAGTGTCAGGGAAGTGGTGCCCGGATCAAGGGCCGGTAGTGCCCTTTATAACCCCATTTAGGCTCCATGGCACATCTTTGAGGTTTCCCAGATTAAGTCCACAACTGGGGTCTAGTGGAAAATGGCCAGGCTGGCACTTAGCAGTCACTTCCCACCTCCATCCCCCATCTCAAATTTGGCAAATGCCTATGAGCAAGCCTTCTGTAGGAATACTACAGAATGCCCACCCTTTGTACTTGCAAAAGAAATTAGGTACTGAGACCTCCTGAGACAGACTAACAAGCCAGTTCTATTCCTGAACCTCTGCTGTCCCAACCCTGTAGAAACCTGCCTTCCTTCTGGGTGCTAAGCATGTGGTTCTTCCCCCTCAGCAAGTCCCTAGGAAAGCAGAGTTGGGGTGGGGGGGCAGGTGGGTCCAAGGACGGATAGAGATGAGTGCTTTAGGTGCCCTGGGAAGCCCTGCAGAGGTTCCTGTGATCCCTGGAAGGGAATTGCACTGTTGGTGGTGTAGCCTCTTCAGTCTCTTCCCCTCTCCACTTCCCAAAACCAGGCTGCATGGGAGCCAGCTCCACTGTCGCCCATCTGGCTCTCCAGAACACAACCCAGTGTTGTTCAGCAATGTCCAGATAGGTTCCAGAGCTCTGGCCCTTTACTCACTGAGGTGGTCCAACCACCCTCCCCCAAAAAAGGTGGCATCTTCCTAACCCCCGCAGTGCTGCTCCTCATGTCATTCCTATGCAGTGCTTACCATATGCACTGACTCAAGATACCCAGCTCGATTGAGAGGCTACGTTATAGACCCACATGTTGCTTATTTGTAATCAATTACAGCAAGATACAGTTTTCCTTATGTTCTAGTTTTTACCACAATCACTGCCAACTGTAATACTTACAAGAGTTTCATGACACTATCCTGGTGTGCTTCCCCCCACCTTGAGGCACTCCCATCTCCCTTTGCTGCCAGAGGGAGCAGCTTTGTGACTACAGGACAGTGTAAGCAAAGGACTTTGTGCCCTGATTGGACCTTAAAGAGGCCCAGATTAGTCTGGCTCTCTCATTGCTTGCTGCCTGAGGATTAAAGAAGGGAATAGTTGATCATTTCTTTATCTGGAAAATTGGGTTAGCAGCTGCTACCTGCTACCAGCCCTTTTCCCTGTTAGTAGGTTGAATAACGCTAACACACTATGACACTAGCCAATGACTGCACAGCCTGGTTATGCATCAGAATTGCTGGGGGAGATTTTGAAAAATAGAGATGCCTAAGCCCCACTCCAGACCTATTGGAGCAGAATCAGGGTGAGGCTGGAGCCTGTGAAGTCTTTTTTTTCACTCCACAAAAGAAGAAGAAATGTTAATTTTAAAAATCGAGAGATAATTTGCATAACATAAAATTCATACTTTTAAAGTATACAATTCAGTTGTTTTATTGTATTCGTAAGGTTGTGCAACCAATATCACTGTTTAATTCCAGAAAATTTTTATCACCCCGAAAAGAAATTCTGTACCCATTAGCAGTCATTCCCTTTTCCCTCCCTCCCCCAGCCCCTGGCAACCACTAATCTACTGAATGGAATCATACAATATGTGAGAAATTTTATTTTTTTGTGTATTTTTTTTCTATTTTAGAGTTGGGGTCTTGCTATATTGCCCAGGCTGGTCTTGAACTCCTTGGCTCAAGTGAGCCTCACCCCTCGGCCTCCCAAAGTGCTGGGATTACAGGCATGAGCCACTGTGTCCAGCCGATTTTTTAAAGTTTCACAGATAATTCTACTATGCAGCCAGAATAGAGAATGATTATTGGGTATGCATTTGAGGGAGAGACTGCATTCTGAAGCCAGCGGAAATGATCAGGTGATTCATCACTTAGTGCAGCAGTGGCCTCTCCCATTGGAGTGGGTGGGTTGGCCACAGGCCTGGAGAAACACCCCAAAGCTCTCTGATGGTTGTCATGGGGGATATGGAGACACAGGCATAGCTCCTGCCCTCAAAATGTGTATGATCCAGTCAGGGAGATAGGCAAGACCATCTGCATTCCTTTTCCCCTGCCTTCCTAGCCCCCACCATGTCAGCACTCGTTTGTGCTGTTCTTGAATTTGTCCTCTATGATCGGGAAAGCCACTTTGTCCTTGGGCGGGGCAGGTGTGTAGACTCTGGATCTGGGGTTCATTGGGCCTCTTTCCTACAGGTGGCGGGAGATGTTTTTTAAAGTGAAGAAAACAGTTGGGGAAGCTCCAGGTGGGCCAACTGGCGCCTACTTGGCTGACACCACCCATACGTCCTTGTACATGGTGAGGTCCCAGAGGTGGGAGTAGAGCTGGTGAAGGGGATAGAAACAATTTTTAGAAACTAAAGCTTTCTCCTGCCTTTCACAGGTAGGTTCGACCCTGAACCCCGTTCCAAGGCTCCCTTCAGGAGAATTCACTGTCTGGAGCAGTTTGTCTCCTCCGGGCTTGGAGGCCTTGGTGACCGAGCTCTGTGCTGTCCTGAAGCCCCGCCTCCAGCCAGGGTGAGTGAGGCCACAGCCCCAGGGTGTGAGAAAAGCCAGGTCAGAACATCCCTGGCGAGGCAGCTCCAGGCGAGTAGTTCCTGATGCTCTGGCCAGAGCAGGATTAGGAGGACCTTCCTTAAACCAGTACGTCCAATGAGCCCACCAGCCCACTCTTTTCTGTAAGCAAATTCCCAGGCTCCTTTCTTGAGATAACCCCCATCCTCCAAGGTCGGCTCTAGAGGAAGAATCTCCACCAAGGGCAGCTGTCTCTGACACTGCCCTTCCCCTCAGGGAGCCCACTGGTCATCGTGGGCTGCACCACCTTGGCCCTGCAGGACACAGCTCCCCATACCAGTGACTCCAGTGTAGACACAGACCCCTCCCTAATGCCTCTCAGCACCATCCAGGCCAGACATAACAGTCAAGGCTTTATTGAGGCCACAGTGATAACAAAAGGGAATTAGTCTCTAGCTGTTGGATATGCTCCTTGCCCCTACGAGAGCATCAGAGGTGGTGTGGGAGATGTGGCCTCACCATGTGGAGACAGCCCTGAGCTTGGCAGAGGAGGGCAGGGAGTGGGGGACTCCAAGAGAGAGAAACAGGGTATTTGCTTTCTAGACCCAAGAGTCCCTGTGTTACTGGGCACTCTAAAGCTGTGGTCCTCAAGCCCTGGGCCGTGGACTGGTACTGGTCTGTGGCCTGTTAGGACTGGGCCGCACAGCAGGAGGTGAAAGGTGGGTGGAGTGAATGAAGCTTCATCTGTATTTACAGCCGCTCGCTCCCTATCACTCACCATCCCCACCCCCTGCCCCTGGTCCATGGAAAAATGATCTTCCAAGAAACCGGTCCCTGGTGCCAAAAAGGTCGGGGACCGCTGCTGTAAAGTTTGGTCAGAATGAAGGAGATAAGTATCTGTTCTCTGGTTGCAGGGGTGCTTTACTGACAGGAACTAGCAGCGTCCTTCTACGGGGCCCCCGGGGCAGTGGGAAGACCACAGTAGTTGCTGCTGCCTGCGGTCGCCTTGGGCTTCACTTAGTGAAGGTGAGGGTCTCTGGAGAGTAGAACCCCACCTACTTCCCCTCCCCAGCTCAGATCCTTCCTCTCCCCTCCCTCTCCCCTACCTCTCCCCTCCCTCTCCCCTCCCTCTCCCCTCCCTCTCCCCTCCCTCCTCAGTCTACTGCTGGGCCCTAACACTTCAGCCCGGTGGGTCAGACTCATCCCCGTGATGCTCAGCTACTAAGAGGTGCTTTCAAGAAGGAGGGGCTTTGAAGAGTTTGGTGGACAGTCCAGGGAATGGGGTAGGGTAGACAAGAGGTGGGACTTGGCCAGTGTATCTTCTTCCATTGTCCCTGCCCTCCAAAGAAAAAGATGGCTGCATCTTCTTCTGACTCCTCCTCCCCTGTTCTCCTGCCACCGTCCTGCCTACCCCTTGCTCACGGGCCTGTTGGGACCCCTCCCCAGGTGCCCTGCTCCAGCCTCTGCGCAGACAGTAGCGCAGCTATGGAGACAAAGCTGCAGGCCGCCTTCTCCCGGGCCCGCCGCTGCCGGCCTGCGGTCCTCTTGCTGACGGCCGTGGACCTTCTAGGTCGGGACCGCGATGGGCTGGGTGAGGATGCCCGTGTGGTGGCCACGCTGCGCCACCTCCTCCTCAGCGAGGACCCCCTCAGCAGGTATTTATACAGGACCGGGCCTGTTAAAGGGGCAGAGCTCAGCCCTCCTACGTCTCTTCAGCCTCGCAGTCCCGTCTTCCCCCCACACCCTGCAATGGCTTCTCAGACACCCACCGCCCAGTTGGCTGCCTTTTAGACGGCCCTGAGCTAGGGTCTGAGGGGGATCCTGAGGGAGGAGGATATGGCCTAGTATTTCTTAGAGAACACTCAGTTAATAAGAAAGCACACCCTCTGCCCTCGATGAGCTCCTCATGTGAGGGGGAAACACAGGACCCCTCTCAAGGTATTCCCAGGGACCCCCATGCAGGAACGGGGGAGGGTGCTCATCTCCCTATCCCAACCCAGCACGCTCCCCTCCCCTGCCCTCTGCACCTCTCTCGGGACAAGGCAGTGCTCGGGAACCACCAGCCACGTCGCCGCGCTCAGTGCCTACCCCTCTGTCTGCAGCTGCCCTCCCCTGATGGTTGTGGCCACGACGAGCCAGGCCCAGGACCTGCCTGCTGACGTGCAGACGGCATTTCCGCACGAGCTGGAGGTGCCTGTGCTGTCCGAGGGGCAGCGGCTCCGCGTCCTGCGGGCCCTCACTGCCCACCTTCCCCTGGGCCAAGAGGTGAACCTGGCACAGCTGGCGAGGCGGTGCTCAGTGAGTATCGGGGTACCAGGCCTCCCTGGGACATCACAGGGCCTTTGTCACAGGAACTCAGTCCTGCTGCCCTGCAAGTGAGGGTAGAAACCCCCAAGGCATCAACACTGGGCTTCTGCTCCAGCTTGGGGACCAGTCCCCAGAGGGTTCCTGCCTACTGTACCCTGCTCATGTGTCCTTTCCTGATTCCCTAGGGCTTCGTGGTAGGGGATCTCTGTGCCCTTCTGACCCACAGCAGCCGCGCAGCCTGCACCAGGATCAAGAACTCAGGGTAAGGGAGTTGAGTACAGGAGGGGAAAGGCAGCAAGAGGACGTGTATGTGGATGGCTGGCTGATGAGGAAAGGAGACTGGGACTGCGGTGGGGAGGACGCCTCACGTGAGGTCCTCCAGAGGCCTCCCTGTGTTTCTCTTTGCAGTTTGGCGGGCAGCCTGAGCGAGGAGGATGAGGGGGAGCTGTGTGCTGCTGGCTTTCCCCTCCTGGCTGAGGACTTTGGGCAGGCGCTAGAGCAACTGCAGACAGCTCACTCCCAGGCCATTGGAGCCCCCAAGGTGGCCACTCCAAGTCCTTGGAGGTGGGATAGGAGTTCCCTCCCCCAGCGTATGCCAACCTCACACTTTCCATCTCCTAGATCCCCTCGGTGTCCTGGCATGATGTGGGCGGGCTGCAGGAGGTGAAGAAGGAGATTTTGGAGACCATTCAGCTCCCTCTGGAGCACCCTGAGCTGCTGAGCCTGGGCTTGAGACGCTCGGGCCTTCTGCTCCACGGGCCCCCTGGCACTGGCAAGACCCTCCTGGCCAAGGCAGTAGCCACTGAGTGCAGCCTTACCTTCCTCAGGTGGCCTGGGGGCGCTGGAAGGGATGCTGGGTGGATCAGGGGCGGCAGCAGGCTGGGGAGCGGGAGGGGCTGCCCGAGAGGTTGAGTGTGTGTGTGTCTGACCTTCCCACGTCCTCTCACTCAGCGTGAAGGGGCCAGAGCTCATCAACATGTACGTGGGCCAAAGTGAGGAGAACGTGCGGGAAGGTGAGTGAGCAACCCCAATGGTCCCTGTGTCCCCTCCACCCCTAGGCTGCTCAGTCATTCCTAGTCCTCCTCTCCACAAGTCAGGTTCCTGTCCCGCCGGATCTAGTACTGGAGTGCCAGTGCTAAACTGTCAGACCCCCGTTCCCCTCTCCCCTCTCCCCTGACTTCAGATGCTCCCGAGCTTCCCTCTCCTGTGGGCCTCTCTGTCTCCAGTGTTTGCCAGGGCCCGGGCTGCAGCTCCATGCATTATCTTCTTCGATGAACTGGACTCCCTGGCCCCCAACCGGGGGCGAAGTGGAGACTCTGGAGGGGTGATGGACAGGTGGGGGTCTGAGTGGAGTGGAGTCTGGGGTCCAGATTACAAGGGATGTGACACAGGTCACAGCAGTCTTCAGACTAGAGCCCACAGATGGAAGTTCCTGCTCTTCCAGTTCTGAGATAATATAATGGAAGCCAAAGGGACCATGAAGTTGGGCAGGGAACACTGAGGAGAATGGGGGCCTACGTGGAGGGGTACGCAGGGCACAGCCGAGCAGAGGGCCCTGCTGAGACAGCCTGTAAGGAGGAGCCCCACAGGCAGGCACAAAAGGTGAGGGTGGACCAAGGACTCTCTCACCTTCACTTCCTCCTCTACAGGGTGGTGTCTCAGCTCCTGGCTGAGCTGGATGGGCTTCACAGCACTCAGGATGTCTTTGTGATCGGAGCCACCAACAGACCAGACCTCCTGGACCCTGCCCTCCTGCGACCTGGCAGGTGGGCCCCCCTGTACCTCTCACCTCCACCAGGCCCATTTGGGCTTGTCCCTCCATCCCCATTCTGTGTCTCCTTCACCCTCCTGGCTGGGCTCCCTGACACTTATCCCCGCCCATCTCTCTGAAGATTTGACAAGCTGGTGTTTGTGGGGGCGAGTGAGGACCGGGCCTCCCAGCTACGTGTTCTGAGCGCCATCACACGCAAGTATGCCTTGGCAGAGGAAGACCCCCACAGAGCTAGGGCCTTGGGAGGGTTAGGGGATTTGTGCAACCTGCAGGACGAGCTGCTCAGTGATGGCTCTCGAGGGAGGTGGCGATGCCAGCTCTAATTGCTCTTTTCCCGTACCCCTACAACAGATTCAAGCTAGAGCCCTCTGTGAGCCTGGTGAACGTGCTGGATTGCTGCCCTCCCCAGCTGACAGGCGCGGACCTCTACTCTCTCTGCTCCGATGCCATGACAGCTGCCCTCAAACGCAGGGTTCATGATCTGGAGGAAGGTGAGCCACTTGCCAGCCCCAGAGGTCATCCAACAAGCTAGTAGGGAGCTGGGTGTGCCTGTAGTCCCAGAAACTCTGGAGCCTGAGAAGGATTGCTAGAGCCCAGGACTTTCAGGCCAGCCTGGGCAATGTAGCAAGACCCTGAAAAACTAGTGGGAGACAAGCCTGGTTCTAGATTTCAGAGGAAGGACTATTGACACCTGGGGGATTCTGAGCAGGAAGATGCTTTCCCAGGGTTCTCCCTGCCTAGACATGGACCACAGCCTCTGTTCCCAGTTGGAATGGGACTCTGGCCTTACCTCCCCCTTATCACTTCCAGGGCTGGAGCCTGGGAGCTCAGCACTGCTGCTCACCATGGAGGACCTGCTGCACGCCGCTGCCCGGCTGCAGCCCTCGGTCAGTGAGCAGGAGCTGCTCCGGTACAAGCGCATCCAGTGCAAGTTTGCTGCCTGCTAGGAGCTCCTGCGGTCAGGGACCCTGCCCACAATGCCTAAAGGTACCCAGCTAGCCCCACACAGAGACCTGAGAGAGAAAGGCTCTTCCTCAGGCTGCTGCCCACCCACCTGAAGGCTACCTCCTCCCTCCAGGAGAGCCCCCCGGGTGCAGAGTGGCATCGAGAGCCCAGCGAGGGCTCAAGAGGCATCTCCTGCCTTCTTGCCCCTCCTTCCAGGCCAGGTCTAAGACGAAGGCCCATCTGGTCAGGAGGAGGGCTGGAGCCTGGGCTTCTGGGGATTGAGCCCTGAGGGGGCCAGTTCCATGGCTAAAAATAAAGTGTTTGCCTCCCCCTGCTGGTGTGGTGTGAAAGAGTGGAGTGGGGAGGAACAGGGTTGTGGGAGGAGTAAGCCGTCAGAGAGGGCAGGGGTGGGCACTGTGACAGCCTGATCTTTCTGACACAAACACAGGGCATGCCAGAACTGAAAAGGCACGGACTATATTGTCTACCCTCTGTTTGCCTGAGCCCACATCCCTGTGCTCCGGCTGTGGTCTGCTCTAGAAGCTGCTGGTTCCCATCTCCCAGACGGAGCTGGAAGTGCCTGGGCAGAGGGTGGTGGGAGCTGAGGGCACGCTCAATCTGTCCTCTTGAGCACGTGGATGAAGTAGCAGGGAATGTAGGCTTGGCCTGGCTCGTAAGGCTTGAAGTCACCCAGGATGCTGTGCTGGCACTTGCCCCCGAAGGCTGCTCGGAGCAACTCCGTGAAGGATGCCAGACGGTGCGGGTAGTAGGAGAGCCGGAACTTGCTGCAACAGAGCCCCGGGCCAACCATGAGGACTGATGGCCCCAGCTCCCACCACCACCACCTCACCCCTGCCTGGGCAGGCGGTACCTCAAGCCAGGAGAACCATCCTGGCCAGTCCTGGGCACCTGCACCGTGTAGTCCAGGGTCACCATGTGGGCTTTATTGTTCACTGTCAGCACTGAGGTTGTGATGTCCTTGGTCAAGTCACTCTGTAAGTGGTGATGCAGGCTGCATTAGCCTCTGTAAACCACCAGGGGGCCCTGGACCCCAGGGTCACACCTCCCACGCTGGACCCTCCCTCCCCAGGTGGGCCCACCTTGTAGTAGATGTTCTTCCCTGGGGGTGCACAGCCTGAGCTGAGGATGTAGTCATAGTTGCGATGATCAATGATCAGCAGGCCCCCTGAGCGCACCATGCTTGCAATGTTCTTCAGCGCCAGCTGGTGCTCACTCTGGTCCCCTGAGCTCCAGGCAGGGGCAGAAAGGCTCTGTCTGCTCAGAGCCCCCAGCTCCAGTCTCCCTCCCACCTCTCTCATCCCCAGGGGTGCCAGAGCCAAGGCAGAGAAAGGAAAAAGGCAGAGTCTGCTTTGGCAGAGAGCAGGGGCCCAGGGGTCTGTGGCAAGGGGTATAGCTCAAGGCGAGGGCCGTGCCCAAGGCCACATCCCCTCTCACCTTTGCAGTCGGGCAAGTGGGAAAAACTGTTTCCAAGGCAGATGACAGCATCAAAGCCACCCTCTGCTGGCTGGGGCACATCTTTGTTCAGAGTCATCCAATTGGCTTCTTCAATGACTGGGGGCCAGGAAGGGGAAGAGGAATCAGGGTGGCACCATGGTACCCATAGCACCCTGCCCACCAAGTGCAGTCCTACCTCAGTTTCTTCCTCAGGACACACAGGGACTCCCCGTCCAGAGAGGGGGAGGAGGAAAGAGGGGGTCAGGGGAGGAGGGAGCCATGGTTGGGAAGGAGAGCTCTGTGTTTGTGGGTTTTTATTAGGGGAGGAACAGGACACTATAAACACAGTTAAAACTTGCCCCTCACACCTAGTGCCAGAGCCTCACTTTTCAGGGAAATGACAGTAATTTTGCTGTCTCCCTGAGGAAAACAAAACACCTCAATCCTCACCCCACATCTAAAGGAGCCCAAGGTAGTGAACAGTGTTCCTGGTGGCTGGGCTGGGAGGCCGGGGTGGACCTGCATACCCCACTTGTCGAAAGCGGGCTCGTGCCGCCGGTTCCAGCGCTCTTGAAGTGCATACTTCAGCATCTTGTCACTGGCATCCACACTTGTCACACTGAAGCCCTCTTCCACCAGCATGATGGAGTCCACCCTGGGTGGGGCCGGGGATGAGAGGCAGAGAGGGACCCTTCTGTCTCAAGTCTCCTGAGTCCATTCCTCTGCTTCCTCTCCCCAGGCCCTCTCCACTGACCTCAGATAACCTCACAAATCTGTTTCCTATCACCACATAGCAACTGTTTTTAAAGCACCTTTTCAGAGCCAGGCCCTCTACAAATGTGCATTAATCCTCCTGGCAACTCTGCAAGGTAAATGGTGTTATTCCCATTTAATAGACAGGTAAACTGAGGCTCCTAGAAGTTAAGTAACTTGTGGACAGGAGGCACTATCACACGGTGGTTTAGAGCATGGGACAGACCCTAACCAACCTGGGTCGTATCTCCTCTCCACTGGACTGGGGACTTTTATTTCTCTCAGGCCTAATTTCCCCAATACGGTATAGGAAACGCCACTCCTTACCTCATGGGGTTTCGTGAGGGTTTGAAAAACTGACGTATCAGGGTTGGCATGTGCAAATGTTGAGCAAATGTTAACTGTTAAGGCCCCCCAAGGCCATCACAGGAGGAACCATACTGGAGCCGGGATCCAAGGAGCCTGTCTCTGGCCCGGAAGCCCCGTGACCCCTCACTTCTCTGCCCACACCCTCTCTCACGCTCACCCTCCTCGGCCCCTTGCCCCGGCTGCCTCGCCCGGGCACTCACAGTGCCCGTTCTGCCCCGCAGGCACCGGTCCCTGGCCCTGGCGTCCCACCCGCCCCGGGCCGGCGAAGGCTGCCCCGACGTGCCCGGCCGCGGTTCTGTGGTGGGGCGGCCCCGGCTGAGCCAGACCCGGGTCCCCCCTGCCCTTGACCCCCCACGCGTGCTCACCCGGTGCCGCAGGCCACGTCGAGCACCCGCTGGCAGCCGTGCTGGCGCAGCAGCCCGAGCAGCCATGCCTTGTACTCGGCGGTGCGGCTGCGGGTGTCGCCGATGTAGAGCTGCCACACGCGCGCCGCCTCCCCGTCCGCGTACTGGTCCGGGAGCCCTTCGGCTGCCACCCCCAGGGAGCGAGTCCGGTACACGCTGTCCACCATGCTGAGGCTCGCCCGGCTCCGCAGCCACTGGCTCGGCACTTCCAGTGCGGGCGCTGCCCGCCGCCCGCGGCCCCACCTGGCCAATGGCAGGTGAGCGCGGGGACACGCCCCTGCTAGGCTCGGGGCCCAGCGCCTACGGCTGTGTCGGCAGCGGGGAGGGCTCTGCCTGGCAATCCTGGACTGGGCCCTTTTCGTTGGCCTGGGAACTCGGCCCTCTGTGCAATCCCACGGCGGGAGAGGACCCTCCCAGCCCTCTGCCCACTTACCCTGGAAGAACCTGGGAGGGGCCAGGACGGGGGGAGCAGTGAGATTGTCCGCTCCATCCCCACCCCAGTTGGAAAGAAAGGGAATAAAACTTCAAAATCCACGCAGAGCTGAGCTCCCAGGCGGGCAGGGCCGGGCCTGTGGCCCGCATCGGTAGGTCCAGCTACTCAGGAGGCTGAGGCAGGAGGATCGCTTGAGTCCAGGAGTTTGAGGTTGCTGTGAGCTCTAACGAAGCCGCTGCATTCCAGCCTGGGCAACAGATTGAGGCCCTGTCTCAAAAAATTAAATAAAATAAAATATTTGAAAAGTTATGTGGCTTAGAGCGACTTATTATCTTTTTTCCCACTTACTATTACTTTCTTTTCCGTTGGCTTTGCCTGGGAGAGGAAAGCTGCAGAAGGTAGAAGGCTCATTTTTAACCCTCTCCAAAAGCACCTGAGGTAAACCTGGGATTTTTTTTTAGGGCTCAGAAAGCTGTTGGGAAATGTCACCTTTAGAATGACCAACAGGCTGTGAGATGTACTAGACTCTATATAAGGACAAATATTCTTGTTATTTTGGTGTTTGTGGCCTTTTTCCTTTCTTCTCTCAATATTCATATAAATAATAATGAAACCTGGGAGAAGAGCATTGATTCGTAAATTTAGACATCTGTGCTCACCCTTTCATTTGGAAATGGCCACTCAAAGAAGAATGGATTTAGGAGCTCTTTGATGAAAACCAGCTACAAAAAAAAGTATTAGTATTTAGAGCAGCAGTCCCCAACCTTTTTGGCACCAGGGACCAGTTTCATGGAAGACAATTTTTCCATGGATGGGGTGGGAGTGAGGGGGATGGTTTCGGGATGATTCAAATGCCTGACATTTATTGCGTACTTTATTTCTATTATTATTACATCGTAATATATAATAAAATAATTATACAACTCACCACGATACAGAATCAGTGGGAGCCCTGAGCTTTTTTTCCTGCAACTAGACAGTCCCATCTGGGGGTGATGAGAGACAGTGACACCCAAAGTGTGTTGCTTACGTCCAGTCTACTCTGTAATCTCGTTTTGGTTGCCATCACTGCAGAAAACCCTGCTTCAATGAAGATAGGATATTGGAAATGGAAGCAGGCTTTTCAGTGCTTTTGTGGCAATCTCAGGATCTTCCGCATTGACTTTAATCCAGAATGTATGGAGATTTGTCACAAATATACTTTGAAGCCCACCGTCATTTGTGATCTCAAGCAGATGATCTTCTTCTAGCACAAAGTCAATTCACCTGGCTTATTCACAAATGGGTCATGGATCCATTCCTTCCCAGTTTGAGGGTCTTTTGTGGTTGGGAATTAATGCTCAAACTCTTTTGAAAGTTGAGACAGGTGATCACGCACCAGCTGGGAGAAAGAAGGCCCTGGCTCTGTTTGGCTTTGAATGCAGCCACTTTATCTACTGACTTGAACGCAGTAGTCATTCTCCCCTGAAGTGACACATTGAGTTCACTGAGCACATTGAATATGACATACAAGCAAGCAAGTTTTGTGACCCATTCTGTGTCACTGAAATGTGCTGCCAGTGGTTCCTGTTTTTCTAAAAGAAATCTCTAGAGCAGCTCTCATAACTCAAAAACTCTGGCCAATGATCTACCTTTAGAAAGCCATGTCACTTCTGTGTATAAGAGAAGACGTGTGTGCTCTGCATCCTCCTCACAGAGCTGCACGAACATACATGAGTTGAGGGCATGTACTTTAATGTGGTTGATCATTTTAATCACATCCTGCAAAACGTTATTTGGTTCAGGTAACATTTTTTGGCTAGCCAGCATTTCTATATAGATGACACAGTGCGTAGATTCATGTTCAGAAGTGACTTCCTTGACCTGAGTAGTCAAACCAGAAACCTGTCCAGTCATAGCAGCCAGCTGTGCACATACTAACACAAAATGACCAATTCAGTTTTCCTGATGTGTAATCATTCAAAGGCTTCAACAGTTCTGCAGCTGTGGTGTTGGCTGGCAACAAAAGTGAACATAA